CCTCCTTCCTCGTCAGGGGAAGGACTCCTCACACTCTTCCCCTGCTGCAGTGTGGGGTCCATGCCACGGGAGACAGTTCTCCACCAACTTCTTTAACGTGAGTCCTTCCATGGGCTGCAGTTCTTTGCAAACTGTTCCAGCATGGGTCCCTCCCACAGGGTGCAGACCTTCAGGACTAGACTGCTCCAGTGTGGGTCCCCCACAAGGTCACAAGTCCTGCCAGCAAACCTGCTCCAGCATGGGCTTCCCCCGGGGTCACATCCTCCTTTGGGCTTCCACTTGCTCTGGTGTGGGGTCCTCATGCAGGTGGATACGTGCTCCATCATGGACCTCCATGGGCTGCAGGGGAATATCTGCTACAGTGCCTGGAGCACCTCCTCCCCTTCCCCCCTCCTCCTTCACTGACCTAGGTGTCTGCAAAGTTGTTCCTCTCACATATTCACTCCTCCATCTGCAGTTGCTGTTGCACAGATTTTTTTTCCCGTTTCTTAAATACGTTATCCCAGAGGCGCTACCACCGTTGCTGATGAGCTTGGCCTTGGCTCGCGGTGGGTCCATCTTGGAGCTGGCTGGCATTGGCTCTGTTGGACATGGGGGAAGCTTCTAGCAGCTTCTCACAGAAGCCACCTCTGTAGCCCCCGCCCCCCACTACCGAAATCTGGCCATGCAATCCCAATACATACATTCACAACAAAAGGAGGGGTAAGGAGAATTTCCATCCTTTATTGTGAATGTGGGGGGAAACGTAGTGACAAAGGATGAGGAAAAGGTTGAGATACTTCAATCCTTCTTTGCCTCAGTCTTTAATAGTAAGACCAATTGTTCTGGGGATACCCAACCCTCTGAGCTGTAAAACAGATGGGGAGCAGAATGAAGCCCCTGTAATCCAACAGGAGATGGTTAGTTACCTGCGTACACCACTTAAGGATGGGATCCATCCAACGGTACTGAGGGAACTGAGGGAACTGGCACAAGGGCTCACCAAGCCTCTTTCCATCATTTATCAGCAGTCCTGGTTAACCAGGGAGGTCCCAATTGACTAGAGGTCAACAAATGTGATGCCCATCCACAAGAAGGACGGGAAGGAGGATCCGGGGAACTACAGGCCTGTCAGCCTGGCCTCAGTGTCAGGGAAGGTTATGGAGCAGATCACCTTGAGTGCCATCACACAGCATGTATAAGTGCCATCACATGGCACGTACAGGACAACCAGGCAATCAGGCCCAGTCAGCATGGGTTTATGAAAGGCAGGTCCTGCTTGACGAACCTGATGTCCTTCTATGACAAGGTGATCCACTTAGTGGGTGAGGGAAAAGCTGTGGATGTTGTCTGCCTGGACTTTAGTAAAGCCTATGACACTGTTTCCCACATTCTCCTGGAGAAACTGGCAGCTTATAGCTTGGATGGGCGTACACTTCGTTGGGTAAAAAACTGTCTGGGTGGCCAGGCCCAAAGAGTTGTGGTGAATGGAGTTAAATCCAGTTGGTGGCCGGTCACAAGTGGGCTTCCTCAGGGCTCAGGACTGGGGCCATTTCTGTTTAATATCTCTATCAATGATCTGGATGAGGGGATCGAGTGCATCCTCAGTATGTTTGCAGATGATGCCAAGTTGTGTGGGAGTGTTGATCTGCTTGAGGGTAAGAAGGCTCTACAGAGGGACCTGGACAGGCTGGGTCAATGGGCCAAGGCCAACTGTATGAGGTTCAACAAGGCTCACTGCTGGGTCCTGCGCTTGAGTCACAACCACCCCATGGGGGGAAGAGTGGCTGGAAAGCTACCTGGGCAGAGAAGGACCTGGGGGTGTTGGTCGACAGTTGGATGAGTATGAGCTAGCAGTATGCCCAGGTGGCCAAGAAAGCCCCCAGCATCCTGACTTGTATCAGGAATAGTGTGGCCAGCAGAACTAGGGAAGTGATTGTCCCCCTGTATTTGGCACTGGTGAGGCTGCACCTCGAGTACTGTGTTTCCATGAACCTTGATGTTCTTCATAGAAAGTTTGTCCTTCGCATTTTTCAAAGTAGTTTTTGTCTTGTTTTGTTTTAACAAGCAGGTACTCAGCATCCCATTGAGCTATTACTTTTCCTTTATAAGGTGCTATATGAAACTTAAAGGGGCTGTTGTGATGTTATCTCTTTATAAATTACTTAACTGTATCTTTTTTTCTTTTAGGGGACATTTTTAGTTGCCATGCTGTTGATAATCCCAAACCACAGTCTGAACTGGCTATGCTTAGACAATATGGTCCTGATGTTCCAGGGCCAGTTCTTCAGAAACTGGTAGCTGCTTTTGGAGAACTGAGGAGCTTGGCTGACCAAGGAATTATTAACTATCCTTATTCAACTAGAGAAGTTGTGAATATTGTAAAACATTTACAGGTACAGTACAACAGATTTCACTACTAAATTTTTTTATGCTTGAAGGTGTTAGGAAAAGATGCAGTTACTGTTCGTGCATTTTTAATTATTTTTTTTTTTTTGGTGAAAAGTTTTGCATTTTACAGGAGTCGTCATATTAAGATGTTCAGATAGTTTGAGGGTAAGGAGCACAGATCACAGAATCACAGATTGGTAGGGGTTGGAAGGGACCTGTAGAAACCATCTAGTCCAGCCCCCCTGCTAGAGCAGGATCACCTAGAGCAGGTTGCACAGGATGGCATCCAGGCAGGTTTTGAGTATCTCCAGAGAAGGAGACTGCACAACCTCTCTGGGCAGCCTGTGCCAGTGCTTGGTCACCCTCACAGTAAAGAAGTTTTTTCTCATATTCAGGAGGAACTTCCTGTGTTCCAGTTTGTTCCAGATGTACAGATATTTTTTCTGTATGTTTATTTATAGATATAGAAAGTACCCGAGAGTTTGTTTTTCCACTATGTGAGAAAATATCGCATTCGTTCTGTGAACACAGTAAGCAATTTTTATACTAGCCTACATTATAAAAATTCCACATTCGGCAAACAATACTTCCAGAATAATGCAACTTTATGCTGCTGTAGAATTTTTGGTGTTAATAAATTCCCAGGAGAAGATGACCCCGCTGCATAACAGTAATGCATCACAGATGGAATTTTTCTAAGGAAAAGTTAGATGGATGACAACTTAGCAAACAGGTACTTAGGAACCATGATTGCTTCCTATACACATTTTAACTGCAAAATCATGAATTCTGATTTAATGATGATTATTTTTTAAAGGTTACATTAGACTCTGGCTTCTATGTTTATAAATTAACGGCTACTTTTTTCCCTGAAGTATTTGAAATATAAAGTATCTTAATGCTATTTGAAATAGCAATGCTTTTATTTTGTTCTGTTTATAATAAAAGTAGGCAATTTGTTATTTTATAGAGTATTTCTTGAATTATTGAACACGAGGTTGAAAAAAGATTAATGGAAATATTAATGTAATTATTAAAATGAGAATATAATTTCTCATAAATTCTTTGGCCTAATGTTCCTGTGTTTAACACTGCATAGTATAACAGGGTTGCAGGATGGTTTTGTGTTTCTTTTCATTAACATATTCAGATATATTCACCCATACACACAGACATTTAGGTCCCATAGATTAGTATTACTCCTTTTAAAAATCTGCAGTTCCTCTTGATTTCTGGGGAGGATAGGTTTTTGTGCTCTGCAGTTTCTAGGGTGCAACAAAGTCTTGAGACAAAGTAAATTGGTGCTACTATGATATCAATACTATAAAGAAAAAATAATTACAACTTTGTACATAGGGTTAAAAAAATTCAGACCTAAAAGCTGAGGAATCCATTGAAATAAACATGTAAGCAGAGTTTTTTATTAGGATCCAATATTAGTTGATAGGTGTTTGCTTACCAAACTGATAGGAAAATGTACTATGTTGATAATATAATTGATGTCTTTAAACACAGAGTTACATTTGGAATTAAAGTGGAAAAATTGTAAACTTGAGAAACAGTCGTTGTGCTGCTGAAAAGCTGGTGGTTTAGGGGTTTTGTTAAATGAACTCCTTCCCATCTTCATACTCTGGCTGTTCCTACCTTCCATCCTAGCCTCCTTCCTTCATCTTCTGTCTCCAAGTAAGCTCAAGTTTGCGCTGTCTTCTGTCAACAACTAGTGATGGACTTAATTCTTTTTATCTTTGAGTGTGAACAGCATCTAATTGAAGATTGGAAGAGCTGCATTGCTAATTGTCTTAAGGGCACTTACTCTCTGCTTCTGTCTCCTTCACATAACCAGATTAGTATGGTTACTTCAACCTGGACACTGGGCACAGATCAGCGGGGAAGTTTCCCGTCTGCCAAGTTTTCACCTCTTTCAAAGTCAAGTGTAAATATCCAAATAAATCTCCAACATGTAGCTTTGATTTCTTCTGTAACATTTGTTTTCAAGATCCCAAGTCTCTTTGAAAGGATGCAACATTTTGTTTACTGTAACTTGTTTTTCAATCTGAATAATAAAAAGGCTGGGAGTAGCCAAATGTAAACAATGAATATAAACATAATGGCTATTCCAAAGAAAGAAGCTTTTAGGTCTTCAGGTAGAGAAAAAAGAGGAAGGAGGGAAATGAGTCAATAAAATTGCTGGTCCTTAGGAAGGAAGGAGGGAAGTTAGTCATGTTGTTAAACAATTTCCCTTACAGCAGTTCCACAGCCCCACTCTCTTTGTACTATTGTGTTGATTTCTTTCACATCATTTTGGAATTTTTTGCTTCTGCAAAAAAAGAGTTGGTTGTTTTGGAGAAAAAATTGCTGTTGATTACTGTTATCTGAGAGAGCATCTGAGCATTGGGGCTAATCAGTTAAGAAAATACTCTGATTACTGTGACATCAACATGTTACTAAGCTAATCTCTGTGCTCTGATTAATTGTGGTGTTCAATGTATAGGATTGTGTCTACAGTGTACTTAGTTACAAGAGCATCTTCCCATAAAGATTATGCAAGCAGGGAATCCATAGCAATTCACTTGTAGCTTAGACACTGCATTCACAGCTAGGTTGCCTCTATACTTTTTCTGAAGGAAAGGGGTTTTTGGTGAAGCTCAAGATACCAAACTGGTTTGAAGACCTAAAACTGCAGGCACAAGGGGAAAGTTGTCTACTGTGGCTGCCTAACATGGTTTCTGCACGTATTTTTCCCGACAGATTGTATAGGGAATTGGAGTCTTTCAGCTCTAGATTGCAGATGACCTGAATACAGCCTTTTTGTCTCCCTTGCCTGCAGTTTTCAGACTGTGTCAAATGTCAGAAGTATTGATGCTAATCGTGGCTTATGGGCAAGCTGAGAAGCTCTGCTCCTGCTCCGTTGGGTTACCATATGCTGCCTCTAACTACCAGTGTATGCTATGACTGCTTCTCTGCTGATACATAGCTAATCTAATATGCTAGTTTTCATGAGACCTTTTGTATTTTGTTTTGCAGAGTCCAGATTCATCCCATGTCCCTGATAGATGTTATTCAGGCAAGCCGCATCAGTTCAGATAAAATGAAAATAGCTTTTTTTACCAACTCTTATTGAGTCTGGGAAAGCTGAGATTTTTCTGGCCTCCTTTTCTGCTTGTATCTGAGATTGTATTCTAATAGTAGGCACTAATATAACAGTTTTCAAGCCGTAAATGTCTAAGGTACCTTCTGGCCCTGAAGTCTGCTAATCATCAAGCTTTTAGGCCTATTCAGTAAGCTTTTGTGCTAAGATAGTACTTTTTTCTGTTCAGCCTAATCTCAAAAGGAAACTAGGCTTACAAATCACAGTTTGTATCCCTTTCTCGCTTTGCTGCCGAACATACATCAATAATAACCTTTTACCCTTTTGGCCAACCACAGTGAATCTCGGTTACCAGTTTTCAAAGATAATTAGGTTTCTGCTGGTTTAATCAAAATCAGCGGCTATGTGACAGAGAGGAACAGATCGAAATTAGTGTCCCTGTGAATGAAAAGGCAGGGGGAGAATTCAGCTGTTTTGCTTGGCAGTAGACGATGCCCACTAAAGACCTGGGCACTGGTTAATCGATTAGTATGCTTGTCGCTCAGGATGAGCCATAGCACTTGCCCTGTTGACAGGACAACTGAGGAGACAGAGCAAGAGCTGGCAGCGTTTGGTGAAAAGGCATTGGGAATACAGGGGGAAGCCAAAGGCACGGAGGAATGAACAGGTAGGGAGAGATCTGTTGGTGTCCTGGGGGCAGGAGGGGAAATGTGCGGGCGTCTGGAGGCACTGGAATTCCTGTGGAAGTGAGTAGTAGTGAGAACACAAGTTAGAAGTCTAAAACAAAAATCTGGACTCATTACAGACTGGATACCAGATAATTTGTCACTTTGTTTTCAGGGTGGTGGTAGAAGTACAGTAGACGTCATTGTGTATAGCATATTTAATTAAGATTCTGTATTTGTACTAGGAAACTACTATTTTACTGATAGCTTTTAAGCAGACTATAGCAATACATGTACTCATGGAAAGTTAGATCTGTAAAAATAGGGATTTTTCACCATGCCAAATTCTGTCACAACTCTCTATCAAATAAAAGTGCGTGTATATATATATATTAAAAATATATAAAAATCTAAAATTGTTAAAAGCAAAACCTATGTTACTTACTATTTTAAGGAATAGCCAAGAATCTAATCTGTGAAAATAGTCTAAGGAACACACAGAAGTGTTACTTGTAAGGGAAAGAATCAATGAATGAGAACCAGACAGACTGATGAGAGATCAATATTTTCTCCAGTAATCTGGTTTTAAAAATCAATGGAAATCAAATGATTTTTTTAAAATGTTCAACTCAAACATTCAAACTTTTTTTTTTGTTCTTCAAGTGAACTGTCGTTGCCTTTCTTCCGTAAGCAGTTGTCTAGGCAGTTATTAAAAAGTGGTTGGATTTGTTCTGATTGAAACAAGAAAGTCATGATTTTTTTTTTTTAATAACTGAAGTAGAGGCCCTTTTGACAAGGAGCTTGTGTTCAGAACAGGTTTTATTGACAGGAGCCATCAGTTATACCTGAGGAAATAAAATTTTTTTTAACGATATCCTACTGTTACAAGACACATGGAACTATCGAGGCAATTTATTGGAGAAGGGTATCAATGTCAGAAATTACACAGTGATTCAGAAAACTGTGGACATACTTGGAGACTACTGGTGAAAACCAGATAATATTTGAAGCACTTGACCAAGGTTTCTGCAGTATCTAGTTCAGGGCAGGTACAATATATGGTTTACTTTGACTCCAAGGTGCAATTTACAGTGTAGAAGTTAGTACATTCACTACTGAACATTACCACAAACTTTTTGCATTTCCATTATGTGTGTTTATACAGTCTTTAGTTAGAATAGCTGTTGGGAGAAATTTTATTTCTAGTAACCTGTTTCATTCAGTAAGGAATGGACATTGTAACCAGTGTGGCACAGGCTATAGGACAACGTTATATTATCCCATAATAACTTGTATTTTGGTAATCTGTAATAATGCAGGACTTCTAATAGGTTCATCATGGACAGGTTTAAAAGCAGGACATAGTTTAGTATGCTTTTATACTGACACTAGTACTGAAATATTCTGTGGCATGTACACCACAGATTAAAAAAGGTTTGTACAAGCCTATTTCTAGCAGTGGTATTCCATTCTACCACAGTAACTAGCTAATTTTAGTATTGATTGTGTCACAGATATTTTATTTCAGAGATATTTATTAAGTTGGGAAAATATTAAACTCCTGACTGAGGCTGATATTTGATTAAGAGTACAGGACAAAACATTTGTGAAAATTTTACATTGTCTTCTGGTTTAGCTTTTATGTCAGGACTCAGATATCATTATTTTTAATGTTTTTATACATTTCTGACACTTATATTAAGTCTGAGCTTCAAGTTATTTGTACCAGCCTTGCTCACTAATGGGGAAAAAACAGATAAGACTTCAGCTCCCTAAAATACATCTTCACATGTTTATCTTCATCACTGTCAATGTGTCATTCTGAGATAGGGCGATCCATGTCTCTTTCTAATGAAAGAGGGGAGTGATAGAGCGGCTCTGGTGGGTACCTGGCCCTCAGTCAGGGTCAACCCACCACAATGTCCTCATCTCAAAGATCTAATATTTGAACAAAAGGCATATAAAAAAACATGAGAAGTTTAAAATAAAAATATTCTCATTCCTATCTCTTGCCGGAAAAGGTAAAATAAAGCAGTTAGGTGGTAAAATTCTAGGATATATAGTAATTTGGTGATTTAAAAAAATAAATCTTATTTACTCCATTTATATCTTAGAAGAGTAAGGTGATTTTTTTTTTCAGATGTTTTATTAAAGAGTATCTGTGAAAAGGCTGTGACTTAGATGTGTTAACATGTTCAACTTAAACAGCTGGTTTTATCAATGGCAAATAAAATCCAAATTTTGCACGAAACATATTCTGTTTAAATTACCTAAATGCATCTTTAAAAAATGAGCTTATTGGAGCCTGGCATTATGGCTGTGTACATTAAGGTACATGTTTACTGGAATCTGCCTTAATTTAAATGGGGACAGGTACATATTTGCTATTGGAGTTTCATGGCAAATCTAAAATCTTTTTTTTCTTTATGTACACAGTACATTTCAGGTAGTATTTTTCACTAAGAAAACAAATATTTGTGCATCTCAAGTGAATTTCTCTTTTTACTAAAATCTGTTATGACCTAAAGTAATTTTTAGCAAGTAAGCAGTGTATCTTTTGCTTTTCTATATTCAGTGTTAAGAATCAGAGGTCTTAAATGAATTGTATAGTTGAATGTAAGAATGTATGTATTTGTGTCAGATCTTCATGGTTAGCAGAAAGTCGCTCCAAATTTAAAAAACACATTATTATATGTTCCAATGATTACACCATCTTGTTTTGTGTATAATGAAAATAATTCTTTAAAACATGAATGATGTTGATTATTTAAATAGTCTCCTGTTTGTTTGTTTAATTCAGGTTTAGGGTCAGTAACTTCATTCTGGCTTGAAGCAATGTACTTGCTTTACTCTGGAAACTAAAAAAAAGATGACTTGAGAACTTGTCTAAGTTGAGCAAAGTTACTGTTACAACTATTCGTTTTAGAAGTATTTAATTGTATACTGTTAACAGATATGCAGTAAAAGAAATTTTGTCATCTTTGTTTCTTCACAGAAATTTCCAACTGAAGGACTGGCAAATGTTGTTCGAAATGTATTTGACTTTGACTCCTACAACAACGAAATGCGTGAAATTTTAATCAGCACTTTGCACAAATATGGGATACCAATTGGAGCAAAACCGACCAATGTACAGCTGGCCAAGGAGTAAGAGTAACATAAGATATATATTAAGAAGACAGGTCTCTCATGATCACTATTTTTTATAGTGTGTTATCTTGCTGCTAACTGATTTAAAAACAAGCTGGAATACTT